TTGTTTGTTGTATGTTATGTGTGTGTGTGTGTGTGTGTGTGTGTGAGTGTGTCGTTGTTGTGTGGGTGCGGCGCGCGCGTGTTGCTGTGCGATGTGTGCGTCGTGCGTGTGTGTGTGTGTGTGTTGTGTGTGTGTGTGTGTGTGTGTGCGTGTATGCGCGCGCATGTGCACGAAATGTGCGCGAGTGCGTCGCGTGCACACAACATGCGATCTTTTTTATGAAGCTTGCTATTCTCGTTTGCAGATCGGTTTGCCGTCGGCGACATAGCATCGGTGAAGAGTGAAGCGAAACTAAAGCGGATTGCAAACCTCAGGTGGCGCTGCACACCGACATGGAGCAGAAATTGCGCTAGAATTGATCATACACACGGACCTGTCAGAGATGGTCGTCTATCCGACCGACACAGCAACTGCCTGCTCGTGCGAGTACGTCACACCTTTTACTGCTTTTATTACTCACTTTGATTTACGATATTTTATTATTGTTCATTATATTCATTAACTGGTGCATCATCGAGGGATAATCATCGCGATGGTCATTACGGCTTTATTATGTTAGAGGTGACTTGATATGTGATGATCAGATTCCTGTTATGTGAACATTATATCTGATAATTAGCTTGTTATAAACTGATCATTAACTGGTAATTATTTATATATATGTGCGTATATGTGTGGTGTGTGTGTGAAAGAGAGCGTGCGTGCGTTGTGCGCTGTGGTGTGTGTGTGTGTGTATGTGTGTGTGTGTGTGTGTGTGTGTGTGTGTGTGTGGTGTGTGTGTGTGTGTGTGTGTGTGTGTGTTGTGTGTTGTGTGTGGTGTGTGGATGATATCGCCTATCCCCCAATTTATTATTATTATTAAATCTTTATTACAATTGTCTTTTATTAATGCAATTCAAATACAAGTGTATGTACTGAAGACAGTTTTGTTGTATTTCTTGCATAGCTGCTAGACAGCTCGGTATTCGACGGCAGCTGACGGGTCGTCGATGGCATGACGAAAGCCGACGCTCCACGCTGACGAGCCTGGCGTTGGAACTCTACAAGCAAAAGGCCAGGGTAGTTCTCCTCATGATGTGCTTCTATACAGAAAAGTATATGCTATAGTTATGTCAATATCGTGTGTGTTGCGTGCATGCGTTGCGTGTGTGCGTGCGTATTTGTGTCTGTGTGTATAACGTCTGTGTATAGACAGACTGATAGACACCTACATACAGACAGACAGCTAGCGGTGATGCTGAGTGTGTATTGTGTTGTGTTTGCCCGCAGGCTGAAAGGCGATGCAGCTGAGCATAGATAAACAGTACGACCTGCTGCCGACTCATCGTGCGGAAGAGAAGATGGAGATCAAATCGGAGGCAGACGAACAGGACGAAGGTCTTCACATGTCCAGCTTCGGACAGTCGTGGACGGCGCTCCCGCCGCCAGACGGTGCCGGCAGTGCGCCAGACGGCGCCAGCAGTGGAATAAGCTGCGCAACAATCGCGGCACTCGCCGCCGAAAATAGTTTCTCGCGGTTTCCTTGGTTTCCTTGGTTTCTTTGGATTCCCGATTTCGGTAGTTTCACCAGTGGAACACCCCGGAGCAAATGCAGTTCACGCCTCTTATTATATATATATATATACTATATATATTAATATATATATATATATATATATATATCAGGAGAAATAATATGGGAGGAGTAAAACATGGAAAAGAAATTTTTATGGAAAATGGATTAAATACGCTATAGAACTTGCACTTGCCTATATCTAAATGTCACTCACGTGTAACGCCTTACGCTCGCACACGCTATGCGCAGTTATTGTGTGTCTGTAAACTGCAAGCATCGGCTAACGTATTAATCGTTAGGATTCATTAAGTGGGCATATATAGATAGTGAGACGGTATGTATATATGTGTAACGAACTTGCCTTTTCGCCGACAAGACGTTATCCCGGACCCTGATGTTTGGCCCGGGTATAATTCCTTGACAGGAACAACCAATCCACACGCAACTCATAAGACGCGACAACAAAGTAACGGTGTTCACACCGGGTATGCCGGGGCTTTTATTACTAACCACTGGATCAGGCCCGCGGCAGATAAAATACACCCCGTTATCATACGATACTTTGTGCTGAATGCCCGAATGCAGTAATGAGCAGTGCTTAGCTAATCGGCTACACCCCACATGATCAGCTAGCAGGGCGGACAAGCCACCAGCAGCTAGAGATCAGTGGGAGGGAGAGAGCTTCTTTGCTAACGCTCACCAAGCTGCGTGTTCCTCGTCTTGCGTTGTGTGTCCATGAGTCAGAAAGCAGACAGCAAGCGGCGTGATCCACGTCTTGCGTTGTGTATCCTTACGCAGACTTTTGACTAAGCTCTGTTACACCCTACATGGTCAGCTAGCAGAGCAGACAAGCCACCAGCAGCTAGAGAGCAGTGAGAGGCTGCGAGCTTCCCTGACTGAGCCAAGCTGGCTCTGTGTTGCTTTGGAGCTGGATGCCGCAGCTTATATACAACCGTGGGACATCAAGTGGTCACAGTCATGTGACCCCCATGTGTGACCTGCAGGTGTCCGGGCCAATTAAACCATAGGTCAAGCTGTGCAGCATGCCTTTTTTCAATCTGCCGTACGTCGCCGTACGTCTTTAAGGTTGAAGTAATGCTGACGCATGCTATAGTGTGTGTTGTACAGTGGGTCGAGTTCGCTACATATTTATATATAATTAAATATACGCCTATATATGCATATACATAAGTACATATATATATATATAATATATATATATATATATATAATGCCAGCGTTTAATGATTACATGTAGCAGTGCAAGAATGGAATGTAACAACGTGTTCTCACCCATGAACTATTCTGTGAACTGTTTCTTGCTAACTTGGCTAGCTCAGTAGCATCGAGTGACATACTGCGGGATATGGCTCATAGGGCAGTCGCAGTGGATCTGCGTCCCGTAGCCACAAGCCACACCTCCCCTGCACGCATACTTTCCTGTGAACTGTTGTCGCTAAGCATACTAATTGTAATATAATGTCTGTAAGATTGCATCGGTGATATACGTACAAGCGTTTATTCGGCAGAAGCTTGCTAGTTGCCTGCTACCCTCTTGGCTACATATGTACCAGGGATTCTTATAGACACTAGCAACTCCCTGAACTCAGTAGAATGTACACATACATTGTTGCATTTGGTTCACGGCGTATTGCTGGATATTGTGTGATGCTTACATGCGAAGTAAGTCACGTGTCTCGTATGACGTAATCGTACGTTGCCGTCATTCGACATCGACCTCATGACGTCACGTGTACGACTGACTCCCTGTTGAATTCGGGGTAGGAAGCTCTTCGTATGTCGAATCTCGACACACGCGTTCAACACGTGCGTGTATGTACAACGACATGTTTACACGCAGTAGTTGTTAGGCGAGTGTGACATGCATGCGTGTGACGTCATCACCCACGTGCGCGTAATGGCCGCAAGTGTTGTTGCTATGGTTACGTGACGCATCATGCCTATCGTGATAGCTAGTGTTCGTTGCTTGAACGTCGAAAATATATAATGTTGTCTAAACTGCGTGAGTTGTGGGTGCATGTATATTATACGTGTGGCGTCGTTAACAGTTTGAAAGGAACTGTTATCCTTGCGAATGACTCTTGAAGTAAATATCACATCTATATCACGTACGAGATAACGCAGAAGATCGCGCATGCGCCCGCGTTTTCCTTTCCGTTGATTAAAAACGTTGCCTACTACACTGCGCACGGGCGAATAAAGGTGAAACCCCCATGCACATGCGTAATGGGCCATGTGCCTTATTAGACATGTAGCCATGCACAATAGAAAGGGGGATGATTGCCATGAGGGGAATGTATATCATGCTACAACGGCAAACCTTCCGATAATAATGATGGTTTACTGACAAATAAATAGTAGGCTCGTCATTCTGTTAAATAAAGCCCACGCGTAGTGAACACCGATGCTTGAGGTAATACTGAGGCGACGGCGAACGTATGCGTGTGATACTTCTAAACACTCTACCGTTCACGCATCTATGGCATGTATATGATCTGCAAGGAACGTCATTGCCCCAAACCATGTGGTCTGCTCAAATACAACACCGATCTTGGAGTCAATCAATCAATCAATGTATCTATCTATCTATCTATCTATCTATCTATCTATCTATCTATCTATCTATCTATCTATCTATCTATCTATCTATCTATCTATCTATCTATCTATCTATCTATCTATCTATCTATCTATCTATCTATCTATCTATCTACCTATTTAGCTATCTATCTATCTATCCATCTATCTATATATCAATCAATTAATCAACCATTCAATAATTCGATCGATCAATCAATCAAACAAACAAACAATCAATGCTCGCAAAACATTCGTTTCCGTGTTCTTACTCACTCCAGCAATCACACGCTAGAGAAAAGAAATCGCCATACATCCCTCCCGCATACTTTCGTGGAAACTCGGATTCAAAGAGTAAATCGAAGTAATCGTCGTAATTCGTTCTTGTAATTAATCTTTGAAATGTAATTCACAGGTGTAAATAACTCGTATTTAATTTAATTTAATTTAATTTACTTGTAATCTTCGCACTCTTCGTAATTCTAAGAGTGCTACTTTTAAGTGCGTCGTCGGTAGGAGACAGGCACCGCTACGTAGCCGCCCTGCCCCCGTGTATGAACTTCCTCCGGCCTGTGTGAACTCCCTCAGGACTGTGTGAACTTCCTCAGGCCTGTATAAACTCGCTCAGGACTGTGTAAACTTCCTCAGGCCTGTATGAACTCCCTCAGACATGTATGAACTCCATCAGAACTGTGTAAACTCCCTCATGCCTGTATGAACTCCCTCAGGCTTGTGCGAACTTCCTCACGACTGTGTGAACTTTCTCAGGCCTGTATAAACTCCCTCAGGCCTGTATGAACTCCCTCAGGCCTGTATGAACTTATTCAGGCGTGTATAAACTCTCTCAGGCCTGTGTGAATTCCATCAGGCGTGTATGAACTTATTCAGCCGTGTATAAACTCCCTCAACCCTGTGTGAATTCCATCAGACGTGTATGAACGCATTCAGGCGTGTATGAACTCTCTCAGGCCTGTGTGAACTCCCTCAAGTCTGTGTGAACACCCTCAGGCCTGTATGAACTTTCTCCGGCTTGTATGTACTCCCTCAGACATGTGTGAACTCCCTCATGCCTGTATGAACTCCCTCAGGCCTGTATAAATTTCCTCAGGTCTGTGTGAACTACCCCAGGCC